AATTCCGACTTGGCCAACCGACGATGTAGACGTGGAAGGTTTTTCTTGACTTCTGAGTTGAACGTACTCGACATCTTCCATGTTCGCACTGGAGGCGAGGCGTGAGAGAGCGTCTGCTTGTACATTAGACGTCCTTGGGATGTGCTCGATCTTGGCCACAAACTTTCCCATCTGTTGTTTGGTCAATGCCAGGTACGGTACTAGTCGGGGTTCTTTCACCTCGTAAACGCCGAGGACTTGGTTAACAAGTAGCTGGGAGTCCGAGAAGATGGTAAGGTGGGTGAGGTTCATGGTTTCCGCGAGGCCCAGGCCCGATAGCAGGGCCTCGTACTCGGCCTCATTGTTGGTGGCCAGGAAAAGGAACTGGACGGAGTGGCAGTACACCCGTTGTTCCGGGTCGATCAGAACCACTCCTCCTCCTGCCCGAGTCGCGGTTGACGACCCGTCGACGTACATTACCCACGGCCGTTGGACTGTCGTTTCTCGGATTGCCGGGGTGAACTCAGCGATGAAGTCGGATAATACTTGGCCCTTGATGGCTGTGCGGGGCTTGTAGTGTATATCGAACTGTCCCAATTCAACGGCCCATTTGATCATTCGCCCCGAGGTGTCTGGTCTGTGCAGGACTTGTCTCAACGAATGGGCCGTCAAGACGGTGACTGAATGTTCCTGGAAATATGGTCGGAGTTTTCTCGCGGCGATGACAAGAGCGTAAGCCAACTTCTCCATTGGCGGGTATCTGAGCTCGGCGTCGTGTAATGCCTTGCTCACGTAGTAGATCGGGTGTTGACATGTCTCTTCTTCTCTTATGAGTACAGCGCTGACTGCCGAGTTGCTTACACCGAGGTATAAATACAGCACTTCGTCGGGCTTCGGTTTCTGTAAGACCGGAGGTCGGCTCAGCGTGTCTTTGATGTTGTCGAGGGCTTTCTGACACTCGTCGATCCATTCGAACTTCTTCCCTTTCTTGATTGCGTCAAAGAATGGCTTGCAACGGTCAGTCGACTTTGAAATGAATCGATTCAGGGCTGCTAACCTACCAGTTAAACCCTGCACTCCCTTCACCGAGGTGGGGGGTCTGAGGTCGAGTATCGCTTGGATCTTTGTTGGGTTTGCTTCGATCCCCCTTTGGCTAACCATATAACCCAAGAATTTTCCCGACTTCACCCCGAAGGTACATTTTTTTGGATTCAACACCATCGAGTAATCGCGTAAAATTTTTAACATTTCATTCAAATGAGTTACATGGTCATCTGCCACAACCGACTTCACTAACATATCATCAACATAGACTTCCATAGTCTGTCCTATCAACCTAGAAAACATCTTGTTAACCAACCGCTGATAGGTGGCCCCTGCGTTCTTCAGTCCAAATGGCATCATCGTATAGCAATATAGTCCCCGAGCCGAATAGAACGAGGTGTGCTCCGCTTCCTCCGGGTCCATAGGAATCTGGTTGTAGCCAGAGTAGGCGTCCATGAAGCTCATGAGTTCGTGGCCCGAGGTTACGTCGACCATGTAGTCTATGTGTGGCAGGGGGTAACTGTCCTTCGGGCAAGCTTTGTTGAGGTCGGAGAAATCTATACAAAGTCGCCATGCGCCGCTGGCTTTCTTGACCAGAACGTGATTGGATACCCAGGTCGGGTACTTGGTTTCTTTGACGAATTTATTATCAACCAACTTATTCACCTCCTCCTCGAGGGCCAGTTGTCGGTCGGGGCCGAGTTTCCTCCTCTTCTGAATGACCGGCTTCACCGTTTTGTCGATATTGAGCCGGTGGCAAGCGACTTTTGGGTCGATCCCCTTCATGTCCTCGTGCTTCCAGGCGAAGACGTCGGCGTTTGCTCGAAGGAATGTATTAATTGAGTTCTGAGTGGTTCGGGCAAGCATGCTCCTATTCGGAGCTGTTTTGGGCAGGTCGGCCCACCGACGTCAATTATCTCGACCTCTTCTGAGGGTTCAGCTCGGTTCCCCGGCTTCTTCTCCTTGAACTGATCTCGGGGATCGAGGATATCATCTTCCTTGGCTGGCTCCTTCCCAGGTCGCCTCCCTCGGTCTCGGGTTTTGTCTTCTTCGTCCCTAGTCGGTGGTTGTTCATCTCCCCCCTGACCTTGACTGTCGCCCGCTTCGACATCAACTTCCTCTACCATATGGATTTCTCGCGAGGGTATCTCCAGAAACAGCTCCCTGGCCTCTCTTTGTTCCCAGTAATGAGTTCATTCTCCGTCTGCCGTCGGGAATTTTATCGCGTAATGAAATATTGAAACAGCAGCTCGGAGTTTGTACAATGTCGTCCTCCCAATGATCGCATTATATTCGTTGTCAAGGTCCATCACCTTCAAAGTTTCCATGATGACTTTGGATGTCTGCCCGTTCCCTCCAAACCTGATGGGGAGTGTGATTTCCCCCAATGGGAGCGCCACGCTCCCGTTGAAGCCGTGGACGCGGTCATTGCAAGGACGGACCTCGGCGGGGTCTATCCCGAGCTTGTTGAACGCCTTAAGCATGAGGATGCTCGTGTAGGCCCCGGTGTCCACCATGATCCGGTGGACAGGAATGCCACAGATGGGGGCCGTGATTATGAGTGCGTCCGAGTGTGGATCGAACAGACTTGCGTCCTCCAGCGTAAAAGTGATCGGGCAGGTGCGGGCATTGATCGTTTCTCTAAGATCCGAGGTCATGACTTGCTTCCCTGAGTTGTAGGCCTTTCGCGTATAGGCCTTGGCCTGCCTTCTGGATGACGTCGGTGTATCTCGGTTTGTATTAACTCGGGGAATAAGACTCGACCGTCCCGAGGTCAAAGGGGTCTGGCTGGGCCGTGGCTGGGCGTCGGCTTCTCGGCCCCTCTTCCTGTGTTGGTCTTGGGGCGAACCGACGTCCGTTGGTCCGATCACGAAAATTTCCTTATCTCCCTGAGCTCGAAGCCTCTTGAAAGTCGATCCCCCTTCATCTCCTTCGTCATCGTCGGGGATTTCCTGCGTTCTTCGTTTTCCCTTGTTATCTCCAGCCTTGGTGAATTTCCTCACTTGTGGATTACCGATGAGCTTCATCAGGGCCGACAACAGGCTCAGGCATTCGTCCGTATTGTGACCCGGCGACCTGTGGTAGTCGCAGTAACGGCCCTTGTCGAGTTGGTTCTCCGGGGTTTTGACTGGTCGAGCATCG